CACCAGCAACTTCTGGCGGAACCTGTGGCAGCAGTTCGGCACACGACTACAGTTCAGTTCTTCGTACCACCTCGAAACCGACGGACAGACAGAACGGACAAATCAGACCATGGAGCAACTCATCCGAGCCACATGCGACAACCCAACCACCAGGGAACAACATTTGCCACTCATTAAATTCGCATACAACAACTCGCCACGACCCAACAGTCACCGTTTTACCTGAACTACGGACAAGACCCGACAGTACCCATGACCCTGAATCCCGACAACCTGGTACCTCGCGCACAGCAGCTCGCCGAAATTTTACGAGCAGCACAGACCAAAGCAGTCGACGCAATTAAAAAGGCCAACGTCATCGCTAAACGGAACGCCGATCGCCACCGCCGACCTGTCAATTACCAGCCTGACGACCTAGTTTTACTCGACACTCAGAACCTTCGCCTGCCCATCACCCCAAAACTCCGCCCCCGATATTGCGGGCCATTTCGCATAATCCACATGATTACGCCCGTCACCGCCCACCTCCTCCTCTCGGCGGACTAGTACGTCAGCCCCTCATTCCACATCAGCCTGCTTCGCCCTTACGTCCCATCCACCAGCCATCTGCCTCGCAATCGCCCATCCAACATGACACAACCGCCGACCGAGCCAATCATCACGCCCGAGAAAATTATGAGCCACCGAGTCTGTGACCCACGAGGAGCTCGCAAGATCGAATTTCTGATCCGCTGGAAAGACCGCACGCCAACGGAGGACAACTGGGTCCCCCTGGATAGAATTGAGAATCACCCTGCCCTCACCGAGTTTCTACGCAGCTGAAACTTCCGGGATGTACATGCACTCTCGTAAGGAGGTCCTCCTTAAGGAAAATTCATTTTCTTTACTTCGCGTCCCCGCTCAGCGCGTACACCACTGTAGCACCACACTCAGCACCGTTACCACTCGCAACCCTCGCATCGACAATCCTCCCGCCACCTTCGCACATCGCACCCCGACCTCACGGCTCGGCGGGTAACCCGCGCTCAGGGCCTCCGCTTCGACATTTCCCCAAGCCTCAGTCCCAGGCCCGCCGCGCGACAACTACATTCATTACCGTTACCACTGTAGTTTCGCTATATATTCTTTGCTCATACCTTCGCTCATTGTACTTTTGCTTCGATAGTGCAATTCTCGCTCGATCACTCAATTGCACTCGTAACAATACGGTATGTGATTGTCGGCTGGAAACAACGGTGTACTAAAAAGAAAAGCCGACATTCCCAAGCGCATGCGATGGGAAATAGTTTGCAGGTCGCACTTGCGGGTTGAAGGCATCGAATCAACAAAAGGCTTGCATTGTACATGCGCGGTTCCACCTTGTGACCCCTAGCACCCTACACCTTGTGACACTTAGCACCCTACACCCCGTTCTCGATAATTTCACACCCCCTAATTTCACACCCCGACTCGGGATCACCAGCAGGGGCTTTGGGCTGCCGAGGTGGCGAACCGTGAAGGATCATTGAGCTGACAACTGCAGAAATGACCGCTATTTATACTGTCCGCAGCCCAGAGAATTGGGGGAGATTGGGGATTCTTTCGGGTCGCATCCAAAGTTTTGTCAATCACAAGGTGTCAATTTCGTTGCACGGCTTTGGGTTGGAAATTTGGGACTCCATTTGCTACAAAGGCATGTTACTTTCAAACCACGCGCATGTGTCGAATTTCCAACCCAATTATGATTAGGTTTTCGATTTTGGGTGTGGGCACTCAAATTCGAATTTGTAGTCAGGATTACGATAAACGCAATCCTGACGTGACTGTTTTTCATTGGACACAAATATTGTTCAAGATCGTCAACACTGAGGAGGGACATTTCAAGTCATTTTCATTCCCTGCCAGCACAGCTTTACCGCGCCTCGAGAGTGAAATTATTGGGGAGAATATTTGCCCATTTAATTTCACACCCTCTCGGGCAAAAAAAATCGCGGTTCGGGATGAAGGGGTGTGAAATTATAGAGAACAAGGTGAATTCACGCCACAGATCAAACGGGCTGACAATATTTAAGACACCTTCTTTCGCGACATAATTTGTTAGAACGCGCCCTAGCTCCAAGACCTGGGAACCTATCCTGTGCGATCAAATGCTTCACACTGTCAGAATATTATTCTTATGTTCTAGCCTGTAGTGGGGTGCTCTATAGCGAGTACAACCCTTCTAGGGTTTGCTATTTGTATCCCCATTTCTGCTAGTTCATCCCTCTTTCCTCTTTCTTCTTCTAACTTTTGTCATGCTATCAGAGCAGGTCGATCCCCTTAGATCGATCCTGTGGGTGGGTTTCCACCTCGCTTCCGCTGCTACCTTTCCTTCCCGCCGTGCGCCCCGAGGCGCGCGGCGGTTTTCCTTCCCGCCGTGCGCCCCGTGGCGCGCGGCGGTTTTCTGCCCGCCGTGCGCCCCGGGGCGCGCGGCGGTTCTTTGCCCGCTGTGCGCCCCGAGGCGCGCGGCGGGCGTCTGCCCTACCTTCGCGGGCGTCCGCCCTACGTCGCGGCCCCGCCCTACGTCGCGGCCCCGCCCTGCGTCGCGGCCCCGCCCCTCGAAGCGGCCCTGCCCTACATCGCGGCCCCGCCCCGACCGTCGCGGCCCCGCCCTACGTCACGGCCCCGCCCTGTGTCGCGGCCCCGCCCCTCGAAGCGGCCCTGCCCGACCGTCGCGGCCCCGCCCCGACCGTCGCGGCCCCGCCCTACGTCGCGGCCCCGCCCTGTGTCGCGGCCCCGCCCCTCGAAGCGGCCCTGCCCGACCGTCGCGGCCCCGCCCCTCGTCGCGGCCCCGCCCCTCGTCGCGGCCCCGCCCCTCGTCGCGGCCCCGCCCCTTGTCGCGGCCCCGCCCTCCAACCAGGCCCGTGGTGGGCCCCTTTCACCACACCGCCTCCCCCCCCCCCCCCCCCCCTCCCCCTGCCATTTCCCGTCGCCCGTCGCGGCTCCTTCGGGGGCCGCGGCGAGCTGTGGGGTGGCGGGTATGGGGGTGCTCGGTGTGCCTTCCTCCCTTTGCTCCTCCTCCTCCTTCGTCTCCCACTGCTGCAGCTGTCGCTGAGGGGGGTGGTTGTGTGGGAGACTCGGGTTTAGGGTTTAAGGGGGGTGCGTGGGAGTGCAGCTAGCGGTGTAGCAGTGGGTGTGCATCAGGGGGGTGGGACTGTGTGCGGGAGGTTGAGTGGAGGTTGTCAGTTTGTCGTTCGCAGCACCTGTAGTCCGGGGCGCTGTCCAGGTAGCCCAGTCGTAGCCAGCTGTGCCAGCCGCCCGTGGGTCCGTTGCCCGTCCGCCGCTATTTGAGCCGCGGGGCCTGTTACTCCTGTAGTCCGGGCGCTGTCCGGTAGCCGCTGTGCCAGTGTGCCTCCTGTTGCCCGTGTGCCTGCAGCTTCAGCCGTCGCCTCCTATCTCCTCTCCCCTCACTCTCTCTCCACCTCCTCACTTGCCCGTTGTGACTACCACTAGCTCTGCTCATAATTGTGAACTCTAAACTATCTCTTCTTGAACTTGTGCTCAGAATGTGTGGTGACATTGTGATCCACCCTGAGCTTGTACTACTTTGCCTGCTCTGCTGATTACACCCCACTTTGGCTATGGGGGTGTGTCAGAATATTATTCTTATGTTCTAGCCTGTAGTGGGGTGCTCTATAGCGAGTACAACCCTTCTAGGGTTTGCTATTTGTATCCCCATTTCTGCTAGTTCATCCCTCTTTCCTCTTTCTTCTTCTAACTTTTGTCACACACAAGACCTTCAACTCGCACAGTTCCACCACCACCTATCCCAAGCTCGCGAAGTCGCCTCGCCCTTCCAATCAGAGGTCGCAGAGCAGTGGGGCTGGGTCGCAGGGGCGCGACAAAACGTCTTTAATCAGGAACTATAGAGCCCTTCCTACAGTAATTAGGGACCGTGGAGTCCTTCCTCCAATCAGAGATAGACCTTCTTCCAAACCAGACCAGGTTCGAGAGTCGAATCATCCGTGGCATTCAGCACCTGGCCTAAGAGAGGCTCGTCATCATGGCGGCGTCGCGGCGGCGAACAATCTCGGTTCCACTCGCGCCGAAGCTCCAGACCCAATTTGCTTCTCGCGCTCTCATTACATTTCTACTCGGCGCTTGTGGGCATCACACCGTACACTTCCCACAAATTTTCTCCTCATCTTCCATATCAGCAAGTACTAGTAGCGTGCAGGGTGGTAGCAGTACTAGTACTAGTAGCACCGCCGGGCTTCTCTTGTACTCGTAGCGCCTCTCTGTTCCCTGCGCAGCGTCTCTGCCGCAGCGCAATGGCTGCCTCATGGCGGGCCGTCACTCAAGGCGCGGCGGCGGCGTCACGTTCTCCGCCGCGGGGCGGCTTCTCCTCGTGCTCATCCTCGCATTGATGCTCCACCCGCCACTGGTTCTGGAATGACGGTCTCTTCCCCGTCGCCACCACAGGCGAAGGGAACGCCGCCGGCGCCGCGCCGCTCACCGCCACGGGGGTTCTATTCCCAACGCCAGCCCGACGGCGCCGACGCCGGCGGCGCCAACGTGCAACGACGCGCCTGTGGACCCTTCGGTCGTGTCTGCGGCATCACCTGGCGATCCGTGTTCGGCGCTGGCGGCGGAGCTAATACGCGCTGCGGAGAAATTGGGGAACAAAACTGGAGGGAAAGGGTTCGCGGCTCCTTCTCTCTTCCGCGTATGCCACTCCACATTCCTGTTCAGGTACTGGTACCGTGGCTTCGAAGCGTCTTCTCTATCCAGGGTAATATATGCTCCGCTTTACTTTTCAAAGTGTGGTTTTCAAACTCTACCTGTTTGCTCAGGAACATGTACGACCCTCACAGTTTTGTGATGCTGAAATCGAATGTGCGGACCTGATTCGCGAGTTTACAACGAGTCGGGTTGGAATCGTTCGTCCATATTCATGATGTGGCAGGAAGGACTGCGACGCGGAAGACCTGCTGTCAATCGCGAACGCATTTGACAATCTTTACATGTACAAGCTCATTTCCATGGACTCGCCCGACCAGACCAACCTGCCGAGCCGCCTCGATATTGTCGCGGACCTGTGGAAAGTCGTCAAGGACGCCGTTGGGGGAAAGTACGCGCGGCTGGTGGACGCGCACATGGCGGCGTTCCGAGCGACGCTGGCGCTGAATGATGGGCACTGCATGTTCATGCCGGAGTGCTTCGTTGGGAGCTACGACCTGCCGCTGCCGCTCATGGCTGTCGTCGAAAACGGGCAGCAGATCATCCGCGTTGCGCCATGCCGATGTGAGTGTTAAGAGTGCACCTCTCAACGGCGGTTGTGGGTTCCAGTATATGTGAGTGTTACACACATGGCTGGTTGGTGATGGTGATGGGTTGTTCCAAGTTCCAACCGTTCAACGATATTCTGTAGCACTCTGCTGCAAAGCATAACACACCTAAAACGCATATTCCGGTTGCACTCAGTTGCTCTTCCTGTTGTTGATTCCCTCTGGCCATCAGTTGTCACTCCCCAAGGGATGGTCCACGTTGCGAAGGTTCTTCACGATTTTGACTTCAGCCTTTATGAGGGCCGACAGGTATGCACTTATCAATAAACTGATTTGAGTCACCTGATTCGACAACATCATCCATGGAACGTCGTTTCAGCAACGTCAATCAAGCACCTGATTCACCAATGCTATTCAAGCACCTCGTTGGTTCAACTGCTCCATGAAAACACTTATTCTACAAATCTATCTTACACGCTCATGCGACGTCCCAGGTGGTGGCTATTAACGGGGATAAAGCGGAGGATTTCATCCTGAATTGGGTGGACAAGGAGATGGGCCAGTTTCGCAATCGCGCTTTGCGGTTCATAAAAGATTTTGCGAGGAATGAAGCGACGGGGACGCTGAAAGGGACGAACATCGTGTAGGTGCCAGGTGACTTCGCCCGCCGATATCTGCCTCCTAAAAATGACACCTTACTGGTGTCGTTCGCTGCAGCGTGAGCTCCTGTACTCGTTGCTCATTGACTCTCCGTGTCACGCTTCCCTGCTGCTTGCTTGCTTGGTGTTTGCTTGCTTGGTGTTTGCTTGCTTGGTGTTTGCTTGCTTGGTGTTTATTTGCTTGGTGTTTGCTTGCTTGGTGTTTGCTTGCTTGGTGTTTGCTTGCTTGGTGTTTGTTTGCTTGGTGTTTGCTTGCTTGGTGTTTGCTTGCTTGGTGTTTGCTTGCTTGGTGTTTGCTTGCTTGGTGTTTGTTTGCTTGGTGTTTGCTTGCTTGGTGTTTGCTGTTTTCCTGGTGTTCGCATGCTACTCATTGGCTCTCCCTGTCTCACTCCTCTGCTTCTTCCGTGCTTTTGCTTGCTTGGTGTTCGCATGCTGCTCACTGGTTCTCCCTGTCACGCTTTCCTGTTTCTTCCGTGCTGTTTGCGTGCTTGGCGTTTGCTTGCTGCTCGTTGGCTCTCCCTGTCTCTCTCCCTGATGTTTGTTTGCTGAGTTCGCCCGGCCCGTCGTCCTTCACCCTTCGTGTGTCCCCCTCCTCCCCCCACCCTGTTTCTGCCGCACCACTCCAGTTTTTAGGGATGGAAGCACAACGGTACCCCACTTAGCAGTCGACTCAAATATCTTCTCCTTAACACTTCATGTGTCCCCCTCCTCCTTTCACCCTGTTTCTGCTGCACCTCAATTCTCAGGGATGGAAGTTCGACGGAGGATGTACAGGTGCCGTAGATTGGGACAGCTGGCCATTCCCACTTTGCAAACGCCACGGGGTACTGGAAGAGATTCTGTGCCGTGGCGAGCCCATCAGTGACTGGCGGCACCAGCATATAGGCAAGCACGGTTGAACAAGCAGCGGACATTCCAATGATGGACAGGTTTCTCGATTGCCGCCCCGCTAACGTCTACTACGGTGATACCAGTGATGGTAGTGATGGCAGTGGCGAATTGAATGTCAAGATTTTGTCGGACTCTGCTGCAGCAGCAGACGGCTCGTTTGGTGCGGTAGCGGGCCCGACTATAAAGAGGATCTCACCAACGACTGATAATTTTTTGGTGAGGGGGATTGCTTTATTTGCTGGGGTGGATATTGGAGGTCGTATGGAATCTTGCTGCTGGGTGCCGCTGGGTGCAGTTTGGTGACGCTCGGTGCTTGGGTAGTTATCTGGTTGCTATTCAGTTGTTGATTAGTGACGCCTGGGGCTTACCATTTGTGTCGGTTCGTGTGTGTCATCTAGGTTCTTGCGTCTAACAGCAACTGACTGCCATCTGATATGCTCTGATCCAATCAGATTTGATCTGATTCGAGGCGCATGTGTGTCTGTGGGTGCATGAAGGTGTACCTGTTGAACGGCAGCATAGCGATGGTGTGGATTCACTTTTGAGGCGCCTCAAAAGGATATGTGCATGTGCACTGCATGTGTGTGTGTGTGGGTGCATGCAGGTGTACCTGTTGGGCAACAGCACAGCGGTGGTGTGGATTCACCAGTTCTTTTTCAGCGAGGCAGTGATGAAGGTGTTGCAGGCCAATAAGGTGGACCCGGAGATGTACATGGTCATGGAAGTCACCAAGGCCCTCAACACCGCTGCAGCATCAGTACTCCTCTCCACCTCCTCTTACTCCTTTCCACCTCCTCCTACTCCTCTCCACCTCCCCCTACTCCTCTCCACCTCCCCCTACTCCTCTCCACCTCCCCCCTCTACTAGTCCTCTCCCATCCCCTTCCTTCCTTCTACTACCCCCTTAGTTGCTTTAGGCAGCGCGTCTTGTTATATAAAGATAGCACCCAGCCCCGCTACCTTCCCCACTCCATGTCTCATACTGGTACCCTGCTCTCAATTCATTTTTCACCTGCCTTGTTATCCTCATCACTTTCCCACCCTTCTGCTACTTGCCCTTTTTCCCATGCCTGTTTCCATGTCCCTTCCCTTGAATCCCCCATGTGTTCCCCCACGCATCCTCCCGTGTGGTACCCCATGCCTCTCCCCATGTGTGCCTGCACGCATCATCTCATCGCATGCTCCCCTTCCCCTTTTCAGATATCCAGCGCCTCTCAGATCATCATCATCACATACGTGCGTGACAACGGTGGCGGTTCCGTTGCAGCAACGCTCATGTCCCCCCATTTGTCCCCCCATGTGCCCCCCGTGTCCCCCCATGTGGCCCCCCACGTGTCCCCCCACGTGTCCCCCCATGTGGCCCCCCACGTGTCCCCCCATGTGTCCCCCCATGCGTCTCCCTATGTGTCCCCCCATGTGTCCCCCCATGTGTCTCCCTATGTGTCCGCCATGTGTCCCCATTCCCGCATGTCTTTCCGTGCCTCCCCCCACACCCCCCCCCATGCCTCCTCCCCCGATGCCCCCCCTGCAGCTCCAACGCCTCGCAGATCATCATAGACGTGCGGGGCAACGGGGGCGGGTACACGGCAGCGGGGTACACAGCCATCCGGCTCCTCATGGGGGCAGCCAAGGTCCCCGACTCCGACTTCGCCCTGCCAGTGGACGGCATCATCGGCACCGTGTACGCCGAGATCGCCATCACCGCGCTCTCCATCGACCCCACCACGCAGTACTTCATAGGGCTGTATGCAAACCTCAACGGGACCGGGTTCACCAGCGCCTTTGACTACGCGCCTTTCCGCGAGCTCCGCTTCACGGTGGCTGGCCCAGCAGAGAAATACTCGGCGCCGTTCAAGTTGAATAAGCAGTTTACGGGCAAGCAGGAGCAGTCGATGTTTGGGGATCGCCTGTTCCTGGTCCTGTCGGATGGGAATTGCTTCTCTGCCTGCGCCATCCTCACGCACGTCTTGGGGAAACGCCACAAAGTACCCATGGTAACTGTAGGTGGTTTGCCCAACGAGTCCGGCCGCGAGCTCCTCGTGCCTTGGGTTTACCGAGCCTAACATTTATTCATTGTCAAAGGCCTTAGCAATCTCGCTACCTTGGTGCCACAGAACGCGTCGTTGCCTCTCAAGGTGAAAGGGGCGGTTGGCATGGCGCTTACTAACGGGTATGTGGATTCGAAGATTCCGTGCGAGTTTGTGTTTCTGCCCAGCCAGCATCACATCAACTACACCGTTGATCTGATTGGCAAGCCCTGGGCCATATGGAGTGAGGTGGCCAAGCTCTTTGACTCAGGTGTAGTATAGGCTATGTGTCATGTTGACACCAAGATCAGGTGCCCTAACAATTGACACCACAGCAGCTTAGTTCATTCATCAGGTGCCCTGACAGTTGACTGACACCACAACAGCCTTGTTCATGCCCTTCTCGTGTATTGGCTGAAAATTAGGCTCCCAAAGTCTTCTCTTGGGCTGGTGGTCGTGCTTTTGGTGGTTATGTGGATGGATGGGTGCTGAAGGTTTTCAGTTTTTCACGGTGTGTGTTTGTTTTGGAGATAGGGGTGATTTGTTATGTCGAGGAGTGTGATTCACTTTTCCTGGTTTCCTTACTGAAATAGATGTTATGGCAGAGACGAGAACGTTATGAGGTAACATGACTAGATTGACACGAAGGAAGAAAATAATATCGAGCACACATTCTCCAGGAATTTTTTGCCACACCAGCAGATCCTTCCACAGATGTTAGGGTATGCTGATGTGGCTTCTTGTGATGTCAAATTGTTTATCACCACGTCACGGCACGTCCATCGTACTCGCCTTTGAAATCAAGCCGGTTGATAAGCCGTTTAGCTGTCATTCCGACAGTTACCTGTCAAGATGAAAGAATCGACGCTCGAGATTGCAAGAATCCATCCAATGGTCCTCCTCAGCTGACAGGTGCGCTGCGCCGCCGCATTTCCAAGCCCTCCAACACTCCCGCTTCCCTGCTCATCTGTTCATACTTTCCCCATTCCCTAGACTCCCCGTATTCCCTCCCCCATTCCCCGTTTCCCCTTAGATTTCCCCCAGCTCCGCAAATCTTGCGATTGGAGTTCTCGAAGTTCCTGCTGGCTCTTTCAGCCCCATCGTCCCCAATATTGCCTTATTTCTCACACAAGCAGCCTCATTTTCGACACCCAACTAGGTTTGGAGGCGCTTGCGCTGCGGTTTCTCACTTTGACTTGAGAGACGGACGCGTCGGCCACCTCGTGCGACTCGATTCTGGGTTGCGCTGGATTGAGTATCCGGGACGTCGCCGAATGGAGGGAGCACGCACACGCACCGCTCTGCCTGAGCCAGCTGCTGTGCCAGCTGAGTCAAGGCGACGCGACTCGCCGTTGCGCCAACTATTTAACACCTCCTGCGAAACGCTTAGTACCATCCCGTTCCATACAGCGCCAAAAAGCTCCTTCTGTCATCTAGCAGCCCAACACTCTCTGACCTGCATAGTTTGAGCGATATGGCCATCCGCGTTACAAGCATCCTCGTAGCGGTTCTCTGCCTTGCCACAGCTGCCTCCAGCTCCTCCGTTCCTCGAAACTTCACCGCTTTTCACTGTGATGGACCGCGTCGCGCTCTCCTGCAGATCCCCCCGTTCGACCCCGCTGCAGCCCTGGGCGCAGCAGTAGGAGCCATGGCAGGCGCCGTCCAATCAGCAGCCGCCACGTTGGCCAGCACCATCGCACAAGCTCCTGGCGGGCTCCTATTCGACGACGCGGCGGGAATCTGCCTCGATTTCGACCCTCTCCCCGCCTGCGACTTCTATTTCGATCTGCTCGGTCCGCTCGGGCTGCCGTCGCTGCGCGTCCCCGTCGTCTCCGGCGGCGCGCTCGTGCTCTCCCAGCAGAACGGCGATCGCCCCGTGAGTCTCGCCATCGCCACCAGCGTTTCGCCTGACGCTGGCGAATTTCTTGGCGATAAGAAAGCGAAGAAAGGTGGTTACCAGGTGGAGATTGACGCGACTGGCCCGGCGAAGTACTGCAAGTGCGAGGCGGCGAAGCTGGCGAAAACAGTGGCGCATGCTGGCGATCAGTTCTACGCCACTGGACAGGTGAGTGCTCTCTGTTCTCCACCCCTCACCCCTCCTCTCTCCCACTTCAATCCCCCACCACCCTCCCCCTTCCCTCTCGCTTGCTCCTTTGCAAACCACTCCCAACGCCTCTCCTTCCCCCCCGAAAAGTTTTCATTCCTTCCCACCACCACTGCTACCTTATGAATCCTACCTCCCTTTACCCCCAGTCACCTCCTCCCCGATCCCCCTTACTTCCGCCCGCCATCCATCGCTCTCGCCCTACCACCCCTGCTTTTCTTGCAGTTGCCCTTACGCCAAGAAACGAAGCTTTCTGGCTGAGGACATTCCAGGAAAAAAACAGAATCCAAATAGTCACGCTCGCAACTCGACCGATTATACGTTTTTGACACACAACAGAAATGGTGTACCCTGGGGGTATAGTACACCCTGGCTGGGGGCATACTCAAATGGTGTTTCTCAAATGCACCCACACACCACCCCCTTTCCCCCCCACCCCCCCTCTTCCCCGCAGCCGGCCAAAGTATACGCGCGCACGTTTCAGAAGAACCTGCCAGCGTCGGCCTTCAAGGGGTGCTGTGTGCGCCTGCCTCTCACCAGCGTGCAGCTCAAGGCGCCCAGTGGTGACGTCATCAACCTCAACCAGGGCGACGGCAACAAGCAGCTCCCTGAGCCCCGCCGCTGCCTTCTCTTCCACGTGCTCACTGTGTGATGGTGGTAGAGGATCGGCATTGTTTAGTTTCATTCCCTAGTCTGGAGTGGCATCACAGACTAGAGAGCAGATGGGAAAAAAAAAAGCTTTAGTTATTTTTACCTAGGAGTAGTTCTTATTCACAAAGCTAGGCACTGTATTATCATTGTAATGCTTGTTTAGCTATAGCACTTGTCTTTCCTCCACTATAGAGCTTGATCAGTCTCATTACCATATGAGATATAGCAGCAACTGTGGACCATTTTATGGAGTTTTGACAAAAAAATTATTCACTCTGATTTCAAAAAGTGACATTGCCTGACTCACAACCCACAAAGCACCACTGGGTGCATGGATCCTTGGATTTGAACTAGTGTTTGTGTACATACACCAGAAATCATCGGCAGATAATTACTGTATCGGAACATATAAAAAACACTGTCATGATAAAGCAGCTGCTGCTTCGTCCCTGAGTGTAGCTCGTAACACTTCATCTAGTCTCATGCACCCAGCAATACCCAGCTCCACCGCTTCATTGACTCGTTTGACCGACATGTTCCCGGTGACATTGCACAGCACCACCTCATTCAGCGATGGCATCAGCGCCACCACCACCCGCCCCTCCTCCACCCGCTCCTCCTTAGAACTGGGGTCCAATAGCAGATCGCCACGGCATATGCTCTGATTTGAGATGAGAGAGGAGAGATCAAGAAGTGCGGGAAGATTTGGGTGGTGCACGAGAGGGGGAAAGATGGTGAGTGGAGCATGAGGGATAGGTGAGAATTTCCAGTTGGAAAAAAAAGCAAAGACTGGGCGAGACTAGACACAAGATGCTGTGCATTTGGCTGCCTAGCATTTTGGTGTGTGAGGAAGGAGGAGATGGATGGGTGGCTGACTGTGAACAGTGTGTGGGCCCATGGCAGCGCTGTATTCAACGATGACAGATGGAGTGGCATGCTTGCAGAGCTGTAGGGGCGCCTGTCACTTTCTCATATTATATCCGTTGCTCATATTATATCCGTTGCTCATATTATATCCGTTGCTCATATTATATCCGTTGCTCATATTATATCCGTTGCTCATATTATATCCGTTGCTCATATTATATCCGTTGCTCATATTATATCCGTTGCTCATATTATATCCGTTGCTCATATTATATCCGTTGCTCATATTATATCCGTTGCTCATATTATATCCGTTGCTCATATTATATCCGTTGCTCATATTATATCCGTTGCTCATATGGTGACCACGACTGAAGCAAGCAAGTGAAGGACCCTTAACGGCACCACCCACTCACCACCACCGATGCGGTAACCAGGTCGTTGAGATGCACGCCTGCGTCTGCCAGCGCCATGGACGCCGCTGTGATCATCACTGCCACGTCAGCTGGTGGTGACACGGGGAGGGTGGGCGGGGAGGTGGGTGGAAGCGAGGGGAGAGGAATGAGTGCGGGGAGACGAATGGGCGCGAATTACTAACAGGGAAAGGGAAAGAGATGGGCAGAGGCGAAAGGGATGAAAGGGGAAGGGGATGCGAGGGCGGAAAGCATACTAGCAAGTCCATTCCCATTGAACACAACTCGGCGTCACCTCCACCCAACTCCAGCAGCAGCAGAGAGACATCAAGCGTGGCCTTGGGGAAAAGGTGTAGCTGAAACTGGTTACCACCTGACGAGCTCGTAGCGTGTGTGCTCTCCTCTCACTTCCACCGGACTCCAGTGGCAGCAGGGAGACATCGAGGGCGGCCTTGGGGAAGACGTGCAGCTGAACCTGGTTACCACCTGGTCTCCAACTGGTTACCACGTGGTGTGCTGTGAGCGTGTGTGCTCTCACCTCCACCAGACTCCAGCAGCAGCAAGGAGACGTCGAGGGTGGCCTTGGGAAAGAGGTGCAGCTGAATGGCCGGCAGCAGCGCACTCTCCACCTCACTAGCTAGCCGCTCCTCTGCTCCCTGCACGCATGGTGCGTTCATGGTGATGGGTGATGGGTGGCAGCAATGCCTTAAGCTATGGGTCATAGAGCCATGATACATGAACCAGCACAGTCATGGGTAGCAGAGGCAAGGCCTTCAAGTCATAGGCCATGAATCATTGCTCACGGCTGATGGTGCCAAAAGGTTTTTCAATGTAGAGGTTCTCTTACCCTACCCTACCTTTGCAGAACACCCGATTGCTACTCTGAACGTCATGACAGCTGCAATGACTCACCTGCGTGCTGCTGTTGCGGTTGGGCGTGGCGAAGGGTGCTATTCTGACGTCACACTTGAGACGCCCCTTCCCCCCCACCGATTGCTCCGCCTTGCGACTCTCCCGTGGGCCAAAGCTGCACATGGTGAGGGGGGGCGAGGGGAGAGGAAGGGATTGGAGTGGGAAAGGGGGGAGAAGGTGAGAGAATGGGAGAGGAGGGAGGGCATAGGACAAATTTATAGATCAGAGGCGCAAGGTGCTAATGGGAACAAGAAGTGGGGCGTGTGGAATGTCACGAACGCGACTAGTGCATAAGACAGGCCGTAACAGCAAACAGTGAGTCACACGTGAGACGC